GTAGTGTGTGTGCGGGGGGGTGCTAATGTGTGTTAATGTCCCCCTCAGCGTGTGGTCAGGGCCCCGGGCACCAGAGGATTCCTGTTTGAATCCTGTTTGTTTGTGTTGACGCCGCAGTATTTGACTGTAAGGAAACCAGCAGGTTCATCAACTGACATCTCCCTCTCTGGCTCTCATAGGCAAATGTCTCTCTCTAGTATGTAGTCAACAGAAACGGTGGGCTTACTGAGAGTTAAAGGGAATTAATCTACTTAAAAAGTAAGAGTTAAAAAAGATGAATCAATAAATCGTCCAATATTACATTTATCGGCATCTATAATCAGTTTTAAGTAATTTATTAAGAAGAAAATGTCAAATTGTTCTGACATTTAAAGACCTGATGTTGCATTTTTAGAAACTTATGGACAATTTTCCTTTTTACATCTAGTCTGGAATCACTTAGCCTGCTAACACGAGACCACTGTTATACTGTGTATACTGTGTGTACTGTGTGTACTTTAGCGTTTTTATATATGTCATATGCTATATTATACTATAAATTACACTGCTTCTCTTGCATATTCTGGTAAAAATGCTACATAACTGCATTTCCTTGTCTCAGTACAGTACGGTGACAATAAAGTTGAATCAAATATAATCTAAAAAATGTAATAGAAATCTCATTGTGTAAATATTTGCAAGCATCAATGGTCCACTCCACGATATTTTCACAGTATCAGTATCAAGGCAACTGGTGAACAAATGTTGTCCTTTGCATACAGTATGTACCAATGACGTGCCAATAGCATCTCCCTCCTTACAGCTGTTAGCATGTGACGCTAATGCGGCTAAAATGTGTGACCTATTGTTCCATACAGGTCAACGGGAGCCAGTACAAGTCAACAAACATAAGGTAAAGGTCAAGATGAAGTTAAGAGGAGTGGGCGAAAGAACAGGAAACACACACACACAGACTGGCACATTGGAAATCTCTGTTGGACATACTCGGTAGGTACCACTTCCTTTTCCTGCCATACATAGCTGCCACTTTCTCTGTGTGTTAAAGGTTGTGTTATTGTCAGTACGTCAGAACCTAATGAACTCTCTGATCGTCTGAGTTATGAACTCATTACCTTTGTTTCAGACTAGCTTTAAGAATACTTCCAAAATACAGATTTACAGTAGGTGCTTATGTTACTAACTTTGTCTATTTGTCACTGTGGATTTCTCCTAAATTCAGTAAAAGTAAGCTTTAGATAATGTTGTAATAATGTCACTTTTTGGTTTCCCCCCTGCCTGTAGTGTGTTATATACTGTAGGTTTGTGTGCATGTAAATGGTCTGCAAAAGCTAAAATCCCTGTGTTCCCTCCAGAGTGTGTTTCTCGCCCACCGACCCCCCCCCCCATCCTGCCTGAAACTCATCCATTGGACTCCTTCTTTACTTCAGTAATATGGTGACATCACTATGTAATGCTCACGCTTCTATTGGCTAGCGCTCCAACACATTGTACCTGATAGGCTAAGGGGCGGGACATCCCTGTCTCCTCTTGCTGGTTCAGTTTGTGACTGAAAACACCTGCGCTTATTCAGATACACAAATCCATATTAAAATCAGTTTTTTCTGCAGAATGAAAGAGGAGGATCCGGATGAACCAATCAAAACACATTTCACGCTCAATACATGTAGAGAGAAGATGCAAATATTAGACGAGTAGCTGCAAAAAATCATACCGACTGAATATCGTAACTATCATAAATCCTTGGTTATTACAGTGGAATTGAGTTGTATATTTATCTAGTTTTTTCCTTAGTTGTTCTTCATTCCCAGCTCTGGCAACTAATACCAAAAAAATACCAAACAGATCACCCATTCTAGCCATGCCTCATATCCCTCTATTTCACTTCCTGTTTCAAAAGTGCTGATTTGGGTATAAAGCTTTAAAAAAAAAACTGCAACTGCTTGATATTTACAATGCTAAAAGAGATCCATAGACAGTTTTGTTGTTAAAGAAATTACAATCTAATTCAGATTTGCCCTATTCCCAAATATTGTATTAGTATTGGACCATAGTAGTTTCACAGATGTTATACAAATATATTAGACGATTATGTTTAGACGAAAACTCCAAGGGGAAGCATTAATGAGGCCTTTTGGGGTTTTACCTCTCCTATAGTGTTCTATAGGCTTTTGTGCATGTCAGTGGTTTACAAAGGCTAAAGAAGGAGTTTCTCCCCCCCCCCCCCCCCTGCCTGAAACACCTCCATTTGACTCCTTTGTTTACTTCCTGAACTCAGTGACATCACTATTTAACACTAGCACTTCTATTGGCTAGCACTCCAACACGTTGTACGTGATAGGCTAAGGGGCGGGACATCTCTAACTGGTTGACCAATCCCAACAGAGCCGGCCAGCTAACCAATCAGAGCAGACTGGGCTCTGGTTTCAGACAGAGGGTGAAAAGAGGTGCTGCAGCACAGGCAGTATGAGAAAAATAAAGAGCTTTTTGAACATTAAAGCATGGAGACATGTCACAGTAGAGACACTACATATTGATATACACCTGAACATCAGCAGGAGAGGACTCTTTAAAGTAGAGACACTACATACTGATATACACCTGAACATCAGCAGGAGAGGACTCTTTAAAGTAGAGACACTACATACTGATATACACCTGAACATCAGCAGGAGAGGACTCTTTAAAGTAGAGACACTAAATACTGATATACACCTGAACATCAGCAGGAGAGGACTCTTTAAAGTAGAGACACTACATACTGATATACACCTGAACATCAGCAGGAGAGGACTCTTTAAAGTAGAGACACTACATACTGATATACACCTGAACATCAGCAGGAGAGGACTCTTTAAAGTAGAGACACTACATACTGATATACACCTGAACATCAGCAGGAGAGGACTCTTTAAAGTAGAGACACTACATACTGATATACACCTGAACATGAGCAGAGTATGTCCTCTTTAAGGCACAGCAGCATTTCTCTGACCTGTAAACTCTCTACATGGTCAGATTATTAAACCTGCTGAAGTTACAGCGTCCTGGTGCACTGATCTGCTCTCAGACCAAAATAATAAACCGGTGGACTGGGAGAACGCCAGAAAAGGAGATCAGTCCAACTTCAGTGTTACTGTCAGTTTATGGTGTGGAAGCAGAGATCATGAAGCACAGCTCGGTCAGCAGATACCTGAGCTTTAGCATAAAATCAAAACAAAAGCTACAAAAAAATCTGCTAAACATGAAGTGTGCAGGAAACCGTATTATATTACTCTGTCTTATATGTGCTCGTGCAAATCATGCAGTACTTAATAGTATTTACATTGTGTTCCTCACCACGTGTTAAACTAGTTGAACAAGTGAAGGGGAAGTGTGTGTCATATACTGTAGAACAAACACAGGTCTTTACTGACATAATGTACCAACACAGGCACTAGGGCTGCACAATTAATATACATTTTATTAAAATTGCAATATGGACTAGTGCTCTTTTCAAACACAGTAAGCACAATAAGCCTGGTGTCCATTTATAATAATTAATATCATGGTGAAATGTTCCTTTACAAATATATACTTTCAGGGCTGAAACAAGAGCATTTGCATGAACAAATAATGGAGTGTTTGCCTATGTCCTGATGGGATGTAATGTAATGTAATAATGTTGAAATGTGCCTTCAATTATTGATTTTCTGGTCAAAACAAAATATCTATATTCTTAGTGGAGCTTTTAATAATATATAATGTTGTAATAGCATGTATCAGGCCACAGAAGGCCAACAATGTAAAGAAAAATATCAGTAATAAAGATCCAGAGTCTTTTAAAGGACAATGAGTTCACAGTAAAGAGTGTGTGTGGATTTAAGTGCATTGAAACACACCTTAAAGGAAAGTCCTCCATACACTTATAATAATTACAACTGCTATTCCTGGCTGGTACATGTACTTTATTTAGTTATTATGTTGTTCTACTATAAAACTTGATATGTACCGTCCCCTTTGCTGTAACAATGAAGATTTAAGTGCATGTAAAACAGACTTAATATCATGAAACAATACACTATTAAACTTACTTAAGCCATTTAAGGGACACTGAGTTCACGGTGAAGAGTGTGTGTGTAGACTTAAGCACATGTAAAACACACTAGAATGTCAACTGTCCACATAACATGTTGGAATGTGCTTTAATTATTGACTTAATGGTCTAAAACAACAGATGTAGATTATTAGTGAAGCTTTTACATACAAAATTATAATATAATAATAATATAATAATAATAATAATAATAATAAGGATTTTAAGAAGTATTCAGGCTACAGAAGGCCAACAAAGTAAGGAAATATGTATGAATTATTAAATATTTACAGTATTAAGTATTTAAGTGCATGTAAAACAGACTTAATATCATGAGGATCCTTTTTTTCTATCTTCTTATGGGATTTAATATAGTAATGTTAAAATGTGCCTTTCATTTTTCACTTTATGTTCTAAAACAACAGGTCCAGATTCTTAATGGAGTTTTAGGTCAAATAAAGGGTTTTTAAGTAGCATTAGGCTACAGAAGGCCAACAAAGTAAATCAAATCTATATTACAAAAATATTAATAGATTTAAATGCATTTGAAAAATCCTTTTAAAGTCAAATGTCCATTTATAATAATCATTTTCATCTTGAGATGTGTCTAGTAGAATATCCTTAGAAGGATAAAACAAGTCTCCTTATGTAATCTAATGTAGTGTAATAATGTTAAAATATGGCTTTAATTATTGACTTTCTGGTGCAAAACACCAAATATGAAATGTGCCTTTAATAGACCTGTATAAAACAAACCATTTAGAGTGTTTACATGAATAGACAACGGGGTTCTGACTGTCTTGACATGTGACACTGACTCAATATTAAAGCACATGTGTAGCTACATATAAAGTACATTGTGTGTGAACATCTCCACAGTAAACAGTGCACGGGGATCACCACAGGGTGCACGCGGACAGCCACTCACCCCAGGGTGCTGATGAAGCCGTTCACCGTGCCCTCTGCGTACAGGGACACGATATCCCCGATGTGCAGGAAACTGGAGGCAGAGTCAGACATCCTGAGCTGATCCTGGATCCGCGCACACACTCAGGTTCAAAGTGTCTCCCCTGTCCTCTCGCCTTCTCTCTCCGTGAGAAAACTACAGAAACTAGAACCTCTTCATGCAGCTGGAGGCTTCAACTATTAACATTCAACCTGTGTTCTCAGTCCGCCTTCACACACTCACTGCCGGGTTCTGACTGCATGACAGCAAACATGGAGGAAAAACTCTGTAAAAAGTTCCGAAAACATTCAAACAGCAGCTCCAGAGAGGCGGGAACAGCGGAGGGATCCTGCACAGAAACTGCACATATCCCGAAAGTGTCGTAGAAATCCTCAGTGTGAGTTGCACACACACAGACACACACACGCACTCAGAGAGAAGTAAGACGACTTCACTGTTCCCTCCCTCTCTGTCAGTGTGTGTGTGAGTGTGTATCGAAGACTGCTAGAAACCAGGAAGTCAGCCGAGGTGTTGATAAGGCTGACAGACAGCTTCAAGAAAGTAAAACCGCCTCAGGGCCAAACACACACACACACACGCTCCTGCACACACACTCATGCACGGGCAAGCCCCTAAGGCACGAGTACACACGCCCCCCCTAAATAACCCAAAACAAACAAGTTAAGTGACATTTCCAGAAAAGAAACAGATATAAAGATTATATTTTAAAAGGTGCAAAGTTCGTTCAGTTGATGTTTGACCTTGACAATGACAAATTAAATCTTGCCTCAAAGTTGCTTTACATGCTTTTTCCTGAGCTTTTCACTCACAGATTTCATCGTTGGGTGGAATTTATAGCAGAAAATAACATATTATTATTTTCTAGATTACTCCTCTGGTCCATACTGTTAGAACACTTTATTACACACATTTTGTATTTGTTGTTCGACATATTGTAAGAGTTCAAGTGGAGTTTGCTGCTTTTTCCCGGAGCATTCAACCAAATCTAATCTGAAGATCTGGCCCTTTATCTGCAACTCTCACGTTTTACATGAGTTTTAGATCTAAGCAAACTGACAAAAATAATACTTAACAATCTTAAAACAAGAATTGCTTCTTGATTTTTTCCATGTATTCTTTGTTTCTGATATTTAGCATCTGTGGTGTTAAAGGTACCATGTGTATTGACCACCAGTAGTGTCAATACACATGGTAGTTTTTCTGTTTGTTATGTGCACGAGCTGCAAGATCCTGCTATCGGTGTCATGCTACAGTTGGTGTGTGCAAAGGAATGGATCATTGTGTAAACAAAAAACTATTCAGGAGGGGGCAAAGATGTAAACCATCCTCAGGAACAGCGCAGAGAGATAAAGCTAATTTGACCCGGTGGCCAAAGCGTGGAATTACAATTTCTGAGGGTCATGCAGCTCAACAAGACTTTCCCCCGATTGATTCACATTGAAAAAGAGCCGTTTGTAAATCAGCTGTACGTCAAACTGTTGTTGACTTACAAAAACTACAATAAAGCTCAATAACTTTACGATTTGTTGTTTCCTTCCTTTTTAAAATTAGTTTTTTTCTTATTTGTTTATGTCTTTTCAAAGTGGATTTGAAAACTTGTCAGAAACTCTGGATTTATTTTTTCTCAGCAGCTTTAAGAGCGTAATTTTGTCCGGAAGTGTTGCTCATCTATTGGGATCTGGGATTGGAATTTGACATTTTGAATTTGAATTTAAATTAGAACCTTTAGTTGGAATTAGTGCAGCAGTTCAGCCAGAAAGGATATGACATACATTCATAATTTACTGTGTACTAACTTATTTTCATACTTTATTATTTAGAAAAATCCCATAAACATAATTTATATATAAGTATACTCTTTTGCCTTTTATCTGGAAAAGGTTGGTCCGCTGACTCAATGTGTCAAGAAGATCACTGATTTATAATCATATGTGTTGTATTATTAAATATGTTGGATGATTGCAGGACGCATTATTTTATTTCAAGAACACCATTTTATATAATGGAGATTTAAAGTAGTTGGTTAAACAAAAAACAATGAGCTGAAACTTTCAATTTGTTTAGTTTTAAAGTGAAATTGTTCATCTTTCGTCCTCATTTTACAGGTTTTTTTCAAGTGTCTCTTTTGAACTGAACCTAAAAGTGTTGCATCATGAGACAACTACAAACTCCTATGTCTCAGAAATAGGAAGCGGCTTCTTTAAAGGAGGTTGATTGCAGAAGTTTACGGTATTTCAAAGTAAACCACCATTTTCTGTGAGAAAAAAAAAAGTAACTTTACTAGACAGTTTTTCAATGTTTCCATCTTCTACATCTCAGAGGTAAATGTTGTACTTATACAGCTTTATAACTTGAACAATTATTATACTTCTTGACCAAATAAAGTCTTTAAAATCCTCTTGGATCAGCAGGAGAAACATCATCTCAAAGCTGAGAACAGGGCAGTTTTTCTGAGAAAAACATAAAAATGTGACTTTTTAGAGATGTGTGGTTCTCACAGGACAAAGCTACGAACATAAGATTATAGAATTTGATGCATTGCTTCAGATTAACTAGCAAACATTATACAAATGAGGTAAAAACCTCTACAGTAGTCATTTATCACATGAATGCAGCAATAACATTACAACAGAAACATCACATAATATAAAACACTGACAGAAAACCTTTAACTGCACAATATACTTTTACTTCAAGTACTCATAATACTTTTTGCTGATGATACTTTTACTTAAGAAAGGTTTTGAATGCTAGTAATTTACTAGTAGTGGAGTATTTTCACAGCCTAGTTACTTGTATTTGTACAGCAGTAGGAGCCAAATACCACTTCAACCACTGGACCAACCCAAAAGAGTATGACACAGACTGAAGTGTAGATGTTGTGTGTGTGTGTGTGTGTGTGTGTGTGTGTGTGTGTGTGTGTGTGTGTGTGTGTGTGTGTGTGCGTGTGTGTGTGTGTGTGTGTGTGTGTGTGTGTGTGTGTGTGTGTGTGTGTGTGTGTGTGTGTGTGTGTGTGTGTGTGTGTGTGCGTGCGTGTGTTTGTCAAGTCACGCTGAGTTGACTTCCTGTTTCAGCCTATAAAGCAGCAGGCAGCGGTCTGGTACACTCACAAGTTGAAGGGATGATGGTTAGTTTCTTTTTTATGCTGTGGTCACTGTTCAGGAAACACACACACACACACACACACACACACACACACACACACACACACACACACACACACACACACACACACACACACACACACACACACACACACACACACATAAACCAACCGAGGGTGGAGATTATGGTATTTCCAGCAACATAAAAACCAAATCACCATCCACCGAAACATTTTTGTCAGAGGATTATAAAATCGGTCGTGTGCTATATGTTACAACAGTTTCTCAATTAGTAGTCTACTTGCTCCACCTGTCCACATTTAATATATGAGCTGTGTGTTTCGTGTGTGTGTTTGAGTGTGTGTGTGTGTGTGTGTGTGTGTGTGTGTGTGTGTGTGTGTGTGTGTGTGTGTGTGTGTGTGTGTGTGTGTGTGTGTGTGTGTGTGTGTGTGTGTGTGTGTGTGTGTGTTTCTGTGTGTAGTGTCCATGGGGAGAGTAGGTTGTGAAGGTTTCCGTGGCGATGGAGAGGAGAAGCCAACAGCATTTTTGTTTTTGGAGAGGCGTAAAACTTCCGCCGGGTACAAGGAATAAATCTAGAAGACTTAGTCTCTGTGTGTGTGTGTGTGTGTGTGTGTGTGCGTGTGTGTGTGTGTGTGTGTGTGTGTGTGTGTGTGTGTGTGTGTGTGTGTGTATGTGTGTGTGTGTGTGTGTGTGTGTGTGTGTGTGTGTGTGTGTGTGTGTGTGTGTGTGTGTGTGTGTGTGTGTGTGTGTGTGTGTGTGTGTGTGTGTGAGGCATTCAACCACACTGCTATACTGTCAGCCTCTTTTCTACTTTAGAATAAAAACCTGCTGAACTCAGTGAAAGACAAAGACTTAATTTCACTGTGGAAAAAGTTCTCAGACAATGTTGTAATTTAAAGAGTCCTCTCCTGCTGATGTTCAGGTGTATATCAGTATGTAGTGTCTCTACTTTAAAGAGTCCTTTCCTGCTGATGTTCAGGTGTATATCAGTATGTAGTGTCTCTACTTTAAAGAGTCCTTTCCTGCTGATGTTCAGGTGTATATCAGTATGTAGTGTCTCTACTTTAAAGAGTCCCCTCCTGCTGATGTTCAGGTGTATATCAGTATGTAGTGTCTCTACTTTAAAGAGTCCTCTCCTGCTGATGTTCAGGTGTATATCAGTATGTAGTGTCTCTACTTTAAAGAGTCCCCTCCTGCTGATGTTCAGGTGTATATCAGTATGTAGTGTCTCTACTTTAAAGAGTCCTCTCCTGCTGATGTTCAGGTGTATATCAGTATGTAGTGTCTCTACTTTAAAGAGTCCCCTCCTGCTGATGTTCAGGTGTATATCAGTATGTAGTGTCTCTACTTTAAAGAGTCCTCTCCTGCTGATGTTCAGGTTCATATCAGTATGTAGTGTCTCTACTTTAAAGAGTCCTCTCCTGCTGATGTTCAGGTGTATATCAGTATGTAGTGTCTCTACTTTAAAGAGTCCTGTCCTGCTGATGTTCAGGTGTATATCAGTATGTAGTGTCTCTACTTTAAAGAGTCCTCTCCTGCTGATGTTCAGGTGTATATCAGTATGTAGTGTCTCTACTTTAAAGAGTCCTCTCCTGCTGATGTTCAGGTGTATATCAGTATGTAGTGTCTCTACTTTAAAGAGTCCTCTCCTGCTGATGTTCAGGTGTATATCAGTATGTAGTGTCTCTACTTTAAAGAGTCCTCTCCTGCTGATGTTCAGGTGTATATCAGTATGTAGTGTCTCTACTGTGACATGTCTCCATGCTTTAATGTTCAGAAAGCTCTTTATGTTCTCATACTGCCTGTGCTGCAGCACCTCTTTTCACCCTCTGTCTGAAACCAGAGCCCAGTCTGCTCTGATTGGTTAGCTGGCCGGCTCTGTTGTGATTGGTCAACCGCTTAGAGATGTCCTGCCCCTTAGCACATACACTGTTTACTCAAGTAGTGTAAATAAGTTTTTAAAAAACTCAATTTTTACAAGCTGAATAACACGAAAGTGAATAACACATTAATTCATAAGTGATTATTACACAATATCATAAAATGACTTTTTCTGCATAATACTGCATACTTTTGGGTACTTCAAGGATATTTTTATATGATAAAATTAGATGTGGACGATAAACTTTAACATTGTCTTACAGTGAGAGCAGAGGAATGTAAATAAAGCTGAACGTCTTTGATCGTTCGACTGTGACCGTCCTCCGCCCGCTTACTCAAACAAAAGGAGCCAAACCCGAAATAAAGGTTGTGCAAAGAAACCACAGAGAGAGCTCACGCAGGGAAGTCTTTAAATATCTTGAAAATGAAGGCAAAAATTATACGTTTATTAACATTTTGACCACAAGAAGGAGATTGTATTAGGAACATCTTTGGGTTGGAAATGTTGAC